TTGTATTGAGTTTTACCTCAAGAGGCAAACTTTACTTACGTAATCCAACAAAGTTGTCAGGTCCTCTGGACGGTTTCTGTTTTTGTTGAGACATTTCATCCTTCATCCAAAGGACTTCATCTGTCCGAGGAGTCGCAACAAACTCAGTCCCACACGCAGCACACTCATAGTGGGCCAACCAGTTTGATGGTGGTATGGTTTCTGGAGTCTGCCCTCTCCCCTGTCGACTCGTCTGAGGCAGCCATGGCCAAAGTGGTTCAAAACAAGAACAACAAAAAAGAAATAAAAAGAAAAGAAAAGAAGCCATCCAGAGGATTAACTTTGTTGGATTTTTGTACCTGGATTATTGAGCATGAACTTTGATGTTTTGAACTACTTTGACCTTGGCTGCCTCAGACGAGTCGATGGGGGAGAGGGCGGGTCCCAGAAACCATCTTATCACCATCAAATTGGTTGACCCACTATGTGAGTGTGCTGCTTGTGGGACTGAGTTTGTTGTGGCTTCTCGGACTGATGAAGTCCTTTGGATGACGAACGAAACATCTCAACAAAACAAAAAACCTTCCAGAGAACCTGACTGAACTTTGTTGGATATTTTACCTGGATTATTGAGCATGAACTTTGATGTTTACTTACCTAAATAGTCATGAAGTATATGGGACATAAATCTTGACTAGTTCATTCAACATGAGCATGTTGCACTCGTCTCAAAGTATTCAGCACATTCCATCTCTCACACAAGCAAAAAACTTTCACCACTTTGTATGGAAGCATGTCAAAATGATGTAGCATAGTTGAAAAAGCAGGTTTGAACTGATAACAAAAGAAAATACCAAGATGTCACAAAACAATGCAGGTTTTTTTTTTGTGTGTGTGTGTGTGTGATGGCAGGTTTCCAAACTCATGGCAGCTCACCAGATGGGCTTAGCGCCTGCTGATGTGTTGTTACAGTTTATCTCGCAGGAGCTTTGCAAAAACTCTTTATCATCTGAGCTAGCTGATCTGGTCAACATCCACAGAAACATGTCTGCCAAAATGTACTGGTATTGAAGCCCAAATTTATATATTCAGGATGTTTTATGATATACGTGTCAAACTGGGATATTAATATACTTTTGCAAGAGCGTTAATGCCTAAATGTTAGTATTGCTGAGAGAGGCAGTTGATAAATCACATTCTTGTTTGGACATGATCCAGGAATGAGGCTCTCTAAAACTGTAACAACCTAAATAGTTTTTGCTTCATTCATAAGACAGATTTAACTTATCTTTGTGTATTTATATCCCAGAATGACTGTAATATGTTTGAGGCTCCTGTTCCTCTTCACTGTTATCAACAGAGATAACTTTAGGACACCGATTGTATATTTAGCACCGTAAGTGCAGCAGTTCTGATTAAGTTTGGAACACAGACAACTTTTTATAACTTAGGTTCCCCGAACCTTTTCACATTTTTTGAGTTTATTTTTTTAGGTTTTCAAATGCAAATAATAATTAACTAAAAGCATTGTTAATTAGAGCCCTCCACGTGTGTGTGCAACTTTAATACATTGCATGGACGTGGCTGAGCAGAGGAGCGAGTCAGTTGAACTGCTGTAGTCAAACAACGTAAATCACTGCTTGTCTGACAGGTTGGTGACAATTTCTTGGCTGCTTGAATCGTTTGTTTCCTTCTTCTGCATGTATGACTTATGAACTGGATCACATCCAACAAATAAAAGAGGAAATTTGTGCTTTGTGTTTCTCTATATTTATCTCCACCTGAGCTTTTTTCTAACTAGAGAGCCCAGTTATTTTCTGACTGTTCTTTTGGTTCGCCTGGAAAAGACAAAGGGACACAAGTTCAGCATGATCTGAATAAAGAAATGCTTTTTTACACTCTAAATTGGACATAGTCTTGTGTTTTATATAATTTAACAAAAAGGTCAGTCAGAGCATGGCTTTGATGAGTCATCATCATGATGCCTGCCAGTCATTGGCAAAAGATGATGACATTGCCCATTGTTTCATTGTTTCTATGTCTAAAAAGCACATTTCCCATGCACATATGTATAATTTTTGTTTTTTTAAGGTGGTAAAACAAGACAAATCCTCACTGATTATAATAAAGAAATAATACGGCAACATTTTCTTTTTGTCAATGTGACTTTCTGAGATTTTATTTTTCGTCTTAAAACATTTAAAGTTCTCATGACATAATCCCAAACTGACAAGGATATATTTATTATTATATTTTTATTATTATGTTTATATTTCTCACCAAACTGAACTAACCATCTTCTCATAAAGGACTGCAAAAGACTACATAAAAGACTACAAAAGTCTCAAAAAGTAATCAAAAAGACTATTTTTCGACCTATAAGTCGCCTTTTTTTTTGTTTGTTTGTTTTGGTTAGTTGTTTTTGTTTTTTGTTTTTTTTTGCATAGTTTGCATGCCCTGTGACATATAGGCTGAAGCAATGTATTTATTGATCTCCTCCCCCCCCCCCCCCCC